AAAAAACTTATTACGGACTCATTTCAACGGACATGAATTTACATCCCGACTCATCCCAAGCATCGCAATTATTACTTCATGTTAATACAAGAGATTCCAGAAAGTAGGGATCTGGAAACAGAGCATTATAGGACAGTGTTTCTAGCTCTTACACAGTCTGTCCTGCAATGACCCGCCCCTTTGCAGCCCGACAACCAACATAGCGATGCATACAGCACCCAGCAAATTCTATGCTGATCCTACTCCTCCTTTATCCAGCAGTCAGATTTAGCACCTAGAAATTACAACAGCTTGTAAGACCTGGAAAATAGAGCATCGCGAGGCTTTGTTTCCCACTCTTACACAACCTGTTTCAGCAACGACACAAACCACCCTTACAGCACAACATTGATTTTGCTTTGTAGCCGGAGCACACCCATGTCCCAAAACCTAACATAGAGCCAGCAATCATCCCAACACAAACATTCCATAGCGCTAATATACAACGCTAGCTCACATACAACCAACCTATACAGATAAGTTCTACCCGAGAGCAGCCATTACCAGCACCGCCTTGACATCTAGAGCTATTTGATTAAAACTGCAACAGGAGACTTTGTTGTTAATAGATTATATCCTTAGCGTGGTTGGAAACTCAAAAAAAAATTCAAATTAATCCACAACCCCAACTTATTCAACATTAAGAATTTAAGATCGATGTCTACGGCAACAAAGGATACATATAATTGATCCGATATGTTAAAGTGTTTGTTCTTGTATTGTTGTTATTATTGATAATAAATAAAATATCACGCCGGCACACCTGATTTTGAAGTCAACTTATGCTTCAATGAGCTATCGATTTGTCTTACTCTAGTCGCCTAAGTAACAATAAGAATGTGTTTGGTCTTGTTTGAATGCAAAACCCTACGCTGAAGATCAATGCATCTGTGCTTAAACCGAAATCTTGATTGAGACGAAGGAAGAAATCCTTATTTATTTATCACTTTGAAATTACTTACAACCCACGTATGACACGGAAGTCACATAGTCTGTAATATACTGTGGAAGTCATATATTTTGGCTTCTGTCAAGGTGCTCCCCAGATTTACTGCTATGGT